GGGTGGTAAGCTCTTAATTGCTGCCTCAACTTCAGACCTTGTTATGGGTCTGTTCAGGGTTTCAGCTTCTTCCTGGTTTAGGCTTGGGAGGAGGCAAGTGTCCAGGAATTTATCCATTTCTTCCAGGTTTACTAGTTTGTGTGCATAGAGTTGTTTGTAATAATCTCTGATGATGGTTTGAATTTCTGTGGAATCTGTGGTGATATCCCCTTGATCGTTTTTTATTGCATCAATTTGGTTATTCTCTCTTTTCTTTTTTATTAATCTGGCTAGTGGTCTGTCTATGTTGTTGATCTTTTCAAAAAACCAGCTCCTGGATTTATTGATTTTTTGAAGGGTTTTTTGTGTCTCTATCTCCTTCAGTTCTGCTCTGATCTTAGCTATTTCTTGTCTTCTGCTAGACTTTGAGTTTTTTTGATCTTGCTCCTCTAGCTCTTTCAGTTTTGACGATAGGGTATCAATTTTTGATCTCTCCTTGCTTCTCATGTTGGCACTTATTGCTATATATATTCCTCTAGAGACTGCTTTAAATGTGTCCCAGAGATTCTGGTATGTTGTGTCTTCATTCTCGTTGGTTTCAAAGAACATCTTTATTTCTGTCTTCATTTCATTGTTTATCCAGTCAACATTCAAGAGCAAGTTGTTCAGTTTCCATGAAGCTGTGTGGTTCTGAGTTAGTTTGTGAATTCTGAGTTCTAACTTGATTGCACTGTGGTCTGAGAGACTCTTTGTTATGATTTCCGTTCTTTTGCATTTGCTGAGGAGTGATTTACTCCCAACTATGTGGTCAGTTTTAGAGTAGGTGTGATGTGTTGCTGAGAAGAATGTATATTCTGTGGATTTGGGGTGGAGAGTTCTGTAAATGTCTATTAGGTTTGCTTGGTCCAGGTCTGAGTTCAAGTCCTGGATATCCTTGTTAATTTTCTGTCTGGTTGATCTGTCTAATGTTGACAATGGGGTGTTAAAGTCTCCCACTATAATTGTGTGGGAGTCTAAGTCTCTTTGTAAGTCATTAAGAACTTGCCTTATGTATCTGGGTGCTCCTGTATTGGGTGCGTATATATTTAGGATCGTTAGCTCTTCTTGTTGCATTGATCCTTTTACCATTATGTAATGTCCTTCTTTGTCTCTTTTGATCTTTGTTGCTTTAAAGTCTAATTTATCAGAGATGAGAATTGCAACTCCTGCTATTTTTTGCTCTCCATTTGCTTGGTAAATCTTCCTCCATCCCTTTATTTTGAGCCTTTGTGTATCCTTGCATGTGAGATGGGTTTCCTGGATACAGCACACCGATGGGTTTTGTCTTTTTATCCAATTTGCCAGTCTGTGTCTTTTGATTGGGGCATTTAGTCCATTTACATTTAGGGTTAATATTGTTATGTGTGAATTTGATACTGCCATTTTGGTGCTAGCTGGGTGTTTTGCTCATTAGTTGATGCAGATTCTTCATTGTGTTGATTCTCTTTACCATTTGGCATGTTTTTGGAGTGGCTGGTACTGGTTGTTCCTTTCTATGTGTAGAGCCTCTTTCAGGAGCTCTTGTAAAGCTGGCCTGGTGGTCACAAAATCTCTGAGTACTTGCATGTTCACAAAGGATTTTATTTTTCCTTCACTCATGAAGCTTAGTTTGGCTGGATAGGAGATTCTGGGTTGCAAGTTCTTTTCTTTAAGGATGTTGAATATTGGCCCCCACTCTCTTCTGGCTTGTAGGGTTTCTGCTGAGAGATCTGCTGTGAGTCTGATGGCCTTCCCTTTGTGGGTAACCCGACCTTTCTCTCTGGCTGCCCTTAGTATTTTCTCCTTCATTTCAGCCCTGGTGAATCTGACGATTATGTGCCTTGGGGTTGTTCTTGACGAATATCTTTGTGGTGTTCTCTGTATTTCCTGGACTTGAATGTTTGCCTGCCTTGCTAGGTTGGGGAAGTTTTCCTGGATAATATCCTGAAGAGTATTTTCCAGCTTGGACTCATTCTCTTCGTCGCATTCAGGTACGCCTATCAAATGTAGATTAGGTCTTTTCACATAGTCCCACATTTCTTGGAGACTTTGTTCATTCCTTTTTACCCTTTTTTCTCCATTCTTGCCTTCCCATTTTATTTCGTTGAGTTGATCTTCGACCTCTGATATCCTTTCTTCTGCTTGGTCAATTCGGCTGTTGATAACTTGTGCATGCTTCGCGAAGTTCTCGTGTTGCGTTTTTCAGCTCCATCAATTCACTTATATTCCTTTCTATTTTGTCCATTCTCGTTAGCGTTTCGTCAAATCTTTTTTCAAGGTTCTTAGTTTCTTTGCGTTTGGTTAGAACATGTTCTTTAAGTTCACAGAAGTTTCTTACTACCCACCTTCTGAAGTCTGATTCTGTCATTTCATCACACTCGTTCTCTATCCAACCTTGTTCCCTTGCTGGTGAGGAGTTGTGATCACTTGTAGGAGGAGAGGTGTTCTTGTTTCGGGTGTTTTCATCCTTTTTGCGCTGGTTTCTTCCCATCTTTAAGGATTTATCCACCTGTCGGCTTTGTAGTTGCTGGCTTTCAGATTGGGTCTCTGAGTGGAGGTTCCGTTTGTTGATGATGAGGTTATTTCTGTTTCTTTGTTTTCCTTCTGACAGTCTGGTCCCTCTGCTGTAGGTCTGCTGAGGTCCACTCCAGGCCCTGCTTGCCTGGGGTTCAACTGCAGCAGCTGCTGAACAGTAAGGGTTGTTACCAGTTTTCTTCTTCTGCTATCTTTGTCCCAGAAGGATACCCGCCAAGTGTCTATCTGATCTCTCCTTTATAAGGTGGTTCTTTGGATATATAGGGGTCAGGGAGCTACTTGAGGAGACGGTCTCTTCTTTATAGGAGCTCAAATGCTGAGCTGTGAGCTCCGTTGTTCATTCGGATCTGCTGGGCAGGTACGTTTAGGTCTGCTGCAGCAGAACTCATAAACTGCTTTTTGTTCCCAGGTGCTCTGTCCCAGGGATTTAGGGCTTTATGAGTTTCGGTTATGCTGCTGCCTTCTCTTTTTTTTTTTTTTTTTTTTTTTCCTTCCTTCAGAGCTGCCCTGCCCAGCAAGGAGGCAGCCTAGTCACTGTCTGCCTGTACAGGCTTTGCTGAGCTGCTGTGGGCTCTGCCCAGCTGCCGAGTGAACTTCCCTGCAGTCCTGTTTATATGGGTGTAGTTAGAACTGCCTTGGCAATGGTGGCCCGCCTCTGTTGTGGTGGAGTCTCTCTGTAGCGGTGGGCTGCCTCGGTAATGGTGGACGCTGCTCCCCCACAGAGCTGGACCATCCGGGGTTCAGCTGCGCTTGCTGTGAAACTCTCAATCCAGAGAGTTTCTGATTGCTGTTCTTTTGTGGGGGTGGGACCAGCCGAGCCTGGTCGCCTGGCTCCCTGCCTCAGAGCCTTTTTTTTTTCTTTTTTTTAAGCTGGTGTTCCAGTCGCCTGTTGAAGAAGCGCCGCGTTGTGTGTTTTTTCCCATGTGACAACTCACTGTGCTGGCTTAAACAGTGGCACTGGGATTCCTGGGGCTTTTTTTGCCCTGGAATCTACTGTCCTGGCTCCCTGCTCAGCCCCCTTTTTAAACAGACGAATGGGTGACTTCCCATGGCTCCAGTCGCCAGCCAGAAGGGCACCCGGACCGGTGTATTTTGTACGGAGAACCGCTGCTCCGGGGCACCGACAAAGCAGCCGCGCGGGGCAAAGCAGCGGTGCTGGTGGCAGGCACAGCCGCGCTGGCCGAAACAGCCGCGCTGGCGACCCGTGGAGCTCCTCCGCCCTGGGAATTTCCTAGTCTGTGGGCAATAAAAATGCAGCGTCCACTCACCTTCTGCGCTTTCACTGGGAGCTGCAATCCTGAGCTGTTCCTAAACGGCCATCTTGGATCGATCAGTATATCAAGAAGACTTTTTTTTTTTTTTTTTTTTTTTTTTTAAGAGTCTTGCTCTGTTGCCAGGCTGGAGTGCAGTGGCACAGTCTTGGCTCACTGTAACCTCTGCCTCCCAGGTTCAAGCGATTCTCCCACCTCAGCCTCCCAAGTAGCTGAGACTTCAGGTGTGTACCACCATGCCCAGCTAATTTTTGTATTTTTTAGCAGACAGGGTCTCACCATGTTGGCCAGGATGGTCTCGATCTCTTGACCTCGTGATCCTCCTGCCCCGGCCTCCCAAAGTGTTGGGATTACAGACGTAAGCCACTGCGGCCGGTGAGCATTTTCCATTTTTCTATCTTGCCTTCCTGTGACCAGATGGCCACATGGTCACAAAATGGCCACAGCTCCAGACATCCTGTCCTTACACAGTAGCATCCCAAGCAGGAAAGAAGAGGAACAGCAACACAAAAGGCCTTCTCACTTGCCTCTCTCTATCCAAAGAGAAAAATCTGTTTCCCATAGACTATCAGTATACTGTCCTATATTGCTCAGTAACTCAAATGGGACTACATAGCCGCCTCTAGACCGTCACAAGCAAAGAGGAACAGGGCTGCCCTTCTTTTGTAATCAGTGACCGGCATCCACTTGCCCTTGGCTCTTGTACCTTGTAATAAACTGCCTTTTGTGTCAAGGCTGTCAGAGTGTTCTGTCTACTAAAATGGACTTGGATTTGTGGAAGAAAGAGAATTCTTCCTTTAATCCTCTTTCTGTAGCTTTTTAGAGATTTATGGATATAGCTGTAGAAGGGGAAAAGAAAAATCCTGTTTCTCTCTCTTCCATGCAATAGCTTGTTAAACTAAGAAGGAAATGATTAGTCCATTCAGTTTGAATCCTGTTTATTGAATGACTAAAGGATGTAAGAGATGAAGTGTAATCCAGACAGAAAGGATTATTATTGAGGAAAAGAGGTGCTCTGACATATCATAAGAGCCTTTGCTCCTATTTTGGCTCTTAAAACTCTGTTTTACTTTTGTTTTAGACCTAGAAGGTTTTGACTCCGTGGTGTCATCTACTGAGAAACTCAGTCATCCGACCACAAGCAGACCAAAAGCTACGGGAAGGCGGCCTCCATCCCAGTCCCTCACATCTGTAAGTGTCTCCTCATACTGTATGTCCCCTTACTTCTCTACAGCTGAAAAGCAGAACAAATTAGAGACTCTAGCTAAGGACTCTTCTGGAAGCAGCCGATTTGACGACACCACAGGAGAGGGAAGCCATGAGATACACTGCCAACCAAAAGTGATTTCAGAGTCTTCTTGAGTCAAGCGCCATTTCTTTCTATTTGTTCTTTGTGTTTCTGCCAGCAAGGTAGGCACTCCCTATTCCCACCTTCCTGTTCTTTTCTTCCAGAATGATTCTAATTTGAGACTAAAATGAAATGGGTAAGAAACAAAGATCATGTTTTATGGTGGGGAAAGGAGAATGAGGCTGGTTTGGTCTAAAAACAAAACTTTACTAAATAAAGATCTGCTCCTATATAGTGCCAGGCAGTGGCCAGACCTTTCTTTCTCAAATCCCCATTGCCTGTACCCCTCCACAGAATACCACGCACACTTTCAGGATATTGTTTTCAAACATATGAGGCCCCTGGTAATGAAGGAAAGACTGATTGGAACACTCAGGATAACCCATAGAAGATTTTTGTTTGGGTTGTTTTGAATGACTTTTTATTGCGAGCCTGTTACATGTTTATTGTACCAAATTTGAACTACAAAATGTATAAAGAAGAGTTACCTGTAATTCTGCTCCCCAGTGCAAAGAACTGTTAACTTTTTGCTATACGCCCTTAGCTTTTTTAAAAAATTATTTGTATATATAAAATTATTTCTTCACAAATGGGATTACATAGTATGCATCGTTTTGAAACTTGCTTTTCTCCTGTTCTGTTGTGTGCCTTTCTCCCCAGTCATGACAGCATTCTTCCCTGACATCACATTTCATGGCTGCCCATTTTTCTAACCTATTGGTATGTGAGTGTTTAGCCAGTGTACCATTATTGGGCATTTATGTTGTTTCCAGTTCCTCGTTATAAACAACACTGAAATGAATGTCACTGCAGAAAAATCTTGATGCTGCCATAAAATTACTGACTTGGGTAAAAATTTTCTGGAAGTGGGTCAAAGGGAAATGTATGCTTTGCTTTTGCCACAGGCTGTACTGCCCCCTCCAAGCTCACCTTCCACAAGTTGTGTTTGTGTATAATCAATATCTTTCTCTCTCTCTCTCTGTTTCTATATAGCACATTGCCTTGTTCCGGTGAGTCTAAGTCCTTATGACCCCCACCCAGATACACCAAGGAATTAATTAACCTTTTGCAGGTTTCCCACGACACTTCCTATTTTTATGTCATCACTGATCCCACCTAAGGTGTCATCATTTAGAAGAAAAAGAATGTCACTTCCTTGGAGCCTCTTCTCTCATATCTAGAGTCTGGAAGTATGGTTTGAGTCATCCTATTTTTCCTCTTAGTGTGAAAGAAACCTAACTTTGCATTGACACCTTTTTGGGAGAAAGACTTTAAAAAGTAGCTGACTTTTTTATTGTTACACAAACTTCTCTGTCAACACCACCTTCTTTCCCCTCTCCCTCTCACCTCTTCACACCCCCACCTCAACACCCCTTTTATACCCACGACCTGTTTAGTTGCTTCTTAGTATCTCTATATTTTGTGTTTCAATCCTACCTCCTCCATCTTCTCTATAAATCCTTCATCATTTTTGCCTTCCTTCCAAATTCTTCCCAACTTTTCAAGGTCTAGAGAGCCTCATGACTTCCAGAATTACAGACAGGTTTAAATTACCATCTCTTGTCCCACCTTTGGTCCATACATCCCATGCCTGAGAGTTCGTATGTATTTGGAGGATGTGGTAAGGACATACCATCTTCACTGCCGTCAGACTACACAGTTGTACATTCATTCAACAAATCTTTATAGACATCTGTCCCCTATGTGCTCGGCACTGCTGTGCCAGGTACCAGAGATACGACTGAAATGAAAAGCACATGGTCACTGCCTGCAGGAAGCTTACCGCACAGTGATTCAAAGTTTGGCATTTTATATGAAGTCACTTCATTTGCAGACTTAAAACAAAAGAATATAGTTGTGCTTTAAAGTATAAGTACTATATTCTCTTCCCTTCATTCCCATTCATCCCCACTTGGATCTGTACATTGAATTCCTATTTATTCTTCTTCCAGTTAGCACCTGTGGATTTTTCGCAGACAAATGGAGGCTTAGTGGATTTGAGTGTATTCCTCAAAGGCCACTGGGGAATATGACAGAGGAAATACACTAGTCATGATTCCCCAGCCTGGGGCCTCTGACCCTTGTTGAAGCTCTTTATGTTTATAGGATTCAAAGAGCAAGCTTTGATTGCCAGCTCATGAACCCTAGGTCATATTGGAGGGAACTGGCTTTTTGAATAAAGTTTCAAAAAGAAGGGATCCAGGCATGGCATGGTGGCTAAGCAGTTAAGCCTAGATTAATTAGAAAGCTTGGTGGTAGGGGAAACTTTATTCTAGGTAATTGGATTTTCAGATTAAGATTAACAAATAAAACCTGTTGAATTGAAAACTTTGCTTAAAAATTCCCTAAAATGCATTAGGTTTCTGCCTTAAGTAAACAGAAGAAAACATACAATATTTTGGGATATAATTTTTGTATAATGATACCAAGTGGTGATTTTAGATGGGACTGTTTTTCTACCACCAGTGTAGAAAGCATAGAGATGAAGCTGAAGATGAGCTTGTCCAAAGAGATCTCTGGAAGGTTCTTCATTATAAAGGATTCCTTGCTATAGGAACTCTGATTTGCTTTGTTCTAAAATTGGGAAATTCTAGCCCAGTGATCATCTATGACTAAGTGACTTCCAGTGAATTGGTCCAGAATTTTTTTTTTTCAGACAGGGTTCCACTCTTTTGCCCAGGCTGGAGGGCAGTGGTACGATGTTCGTGGCTCACCACAGCTTCGACCTCTGGGGCTCAAGTGATCTCCCACCTCAGCCTCCTGAGCAGCTGGGACTACAGGTGCAAACCACCGTACCTGGCTAATTTTTGTATTTTTCATAGAGATGGGGTTTCGCCATGTTGCCTAGCTGGTCTCAAATTCCTGGGCTCAAGAGATCCTCCCGCCTCAGCCTCCCAAAGTGTTGGGATTACAGGCGTGAGCCACCACATCCAGCCTTATCTGGCTTTTTTATCTTTACAGTGGTCTTCACAGTGAGGCAGAAAGAACAGGGATGTTGTCCTATATTTTACTAAAAGATGCTGCCATTCTGTAAATATACTACGGCAATACAGACTCCAAAATGGATGTTGACTGTCAGCAGTAATGAGGGCAGAGATTTAACAGCAGGTACCAAAGGAGGTATGAGCTTGTTGTACTAGCAAGCAATGCTGTGCCCTCAGGCTGAGGAAACACTGGTCGCTGGACCACAGGCCTGGTGAGCCCTTGTCCCTGGAAATGGTTTTCTCTCAGACACATCCTTTAGGACACTTCCACATGCAGATTTAGCAATCCAAAGATCAAGGAAAAGGAAGAGGAGGGAATGAAGGAGAGGCAGATTAGAGGTAGCCTCTCATTGACCTGTGTGTTCTTCCTTGGTGGACTGTCAGCCCTGTGAGGGCAGGCATCCTGTGTGGCGTGTCACTAAGTCTGCAGTACAAAACTCAGTGCTTGACACATGGTAGCAAATGTTTAGAGGAAGCAGCAGGAAAGGATGGACGATGGATGCTTGCAAGGATGAAGTGAGTGATGGACATCAGTGGCAAGATCCCTGGTTTAGGAAACCTTGCTTCTTAGTTGCAGTTCTGCCACTAACCAGCTATGTGACTTGAACACATGGATAACAGCACACTTTTTTGCCTCAGGGTTATCGTGAGAAGACAAAATAGCAGTGTCAAGTGCTTTGGAAAGCATACAGCATTATATTAACAAAAGCGGTGTCAGCTAAGGTATAATTCTGACAAAAGCATTTTCTTTTGGCTTTATCAGTCATCCCTTTCAAGCCCTGATATCTTCGACTCCCCAAGTCCCGAAGAGGATAAGGAGGAACACATTTCACTTGCGCACAGAGGAGTGGACGCGTCAAAGAAAACTTCCAAGACTGTTACCATATCCCAAGTGAGTGACCAGCCATGAGAGGGTGTCCCTATCATTTCATGCATGTACTAGTGATGGGTTATAAACCAAACAAAGATATGCAGACAGTGCAGGTGTTTGTCATTCTTCAATGACAGCAATTCCATTACTAATCAAAATCCCAAGGCATGCTGCCATCTCTGAAACTAAGCAGAATCCCTGAGATACAAGTTCAGTTGTTTATTTCCCATGTTTTCATCTTATGGTTTGATCTCCTCTTCATACCATCACACATACATTCACAAATGCCTTCACACACTACCACCATCACCACAACCAGAACAATGTAAAAAGCCTTGAGGTATCTAGAGAGAAGACATTATTCAATGATGTGCCCTCTGCCCATAGATCTTGTCTTTTATGTTCAAAGCTGGTCACAAATTACAGTTGGAAGATCGTAAATATAAATAATGTGGTCTTTTAAAGAAAATTGATTTGGATTCATATTCTGTGATAAATTTATAGTCTAAAAACATTTCAATTTCATTCCATTCCCAGGGAATAGTATAGATACTTTATTAGTTTATGAGAAACAAGGAAGACATTTAACTTTTAGCTACTTCATGTAACTTTTGAGGAGTATCTTGTACAAATTCTCTTCTTCCTATGAATACGAACCAAGATTTTAAAATTCCATTTTCTCCTACTAAGAAAACCCAGTTGACTGGAATTATTTTGTCTGAATATTAACAACTTATTTCTGTCTAAAAGCAGAAAACTGTAGTCACTTGAAGCAGGAATTAGCACAAAGAAATCAAAGGTTACCATGGAATTTTCCTTCTCCATAGATGTAAGAATTTACATGTGTAGATTTTCTTAAAAATGTGATACAGTAAGCAAAACGTGATCCTATACAACAAATCAATTGTAATTATTCACAAAATCGAAACATTCTTTCTTTATAAAAGGATTCCATCTGCAGAAATTGGATTTGACCCTTTTTCTGGTGACCATAGGTATACCTATAGTTTCATTCTGACATCCCTGGGGTGTCTCTACAATGACATCTACTGGTGAATAGTGGGTTTTCACGGTTCTGATTTGCACAGTTCTATCCCATTAGCCTATTTCACCTCCCCCAAGTTGTCATGTCCTGCCCTTCACTGCTTTTACAAATTCTGCTTGAACTAATTTGATCAGGGAGTGTGGTGGCCTATACTCTGTGAGGGCTTTAAAATTGCTCAGTAGCCGAAATGGGCCAGGAGAGCAAGTCATGTAGGAAATGCCAAGAGAAGCATTGATTCGAGAAGTGCCTGGAAGTCAGTCAGTGCAAAGGCATTGGTGGGTCACAGAAGTATGGGAGGTCTGCAAGGCTGCAGGATGGGAAAAAGGAAAAGGCATGAGCCCAGACAAGCAAAGGAGAGAAGGACAGGAGAGCATAAATCTTCAGACTCAGGCAGCCACAGTGGTAGTGCTGGACTTGAGGGATCCAGTTGACAGTGAGGGAATTGACTCCCCGTTCCGCCAGTTATTACCTCTGAGTCTTGGAGAACTACTCAGCCACCTCTCTAAGCCCCAGTTTCATGCTTGGTAAAATGCTTGTGTGAACCAATCGTCGTTCAAATTGTCTAGCTGGCATCCAACATGTGATCAGCGCTCCATAAATGTCAGTTCCTCTTTCCTCTTACTCTAACTCCTAACGATAAAGCATGGGCTGGCGGAGTGCTGTCCCTGGCAGCAGAGAGCGCTTTTCCTCAATGGTAACTTGGCAGAAAAAAGGCGAGCAGAGAGGCTGGGAATGATGGCCCATCTGCTTTTGGCTTTCTCTGCCCAGTCTCTCCCTCTAGCACAGCCTGAATCCAGACTCTGCCTCCTCGCCATGCCAGCCAAGCCCCTTTTTGGCTCCTGTGCTGGGGTAGCCTGCTGGGCACCTGCTGCTGGAGGGAGTCTCGCAGCCACGTTGCCAAGCTTCACCACCAGCCTCCACTTCTGCTCTGTCGCTCACACCCTCACCTCCCAACATCCTGTCCCACTCTTTTCCCTCCTCCCCACCTGCCTCCCAGCTCCCTTGTTGGTGCCTCCTCCCCCAGGAGCCTACTGGGCACCCCTCTTCCCTCTCACCCATGACTGTCTTCCTGGGCCCTCCTGGCCTCCTCAGGACACTTCTCCATCAGGCCTCCCTGGCTGGTGTCTTCCATCTTCGGCCTGGCCCTTCACTGACTCTTTCTTTCAACATATCTTGTAGCTTAGGGCCTCCCCTGTCCTGGAAAGTGAACAGAAACCTTCCCTGATTCCACCTCCCCCTGAGGCTTCTGCATGAGCATGCTCCCTCTCTCCTGTCTTCCTGCCTCTGCCAAGTTTCTGGAAAGAGAGTCCTAAACTTGCAGGCCACATTCTTCACCTCCTATCCAGGTGCTCATCTGCCATGAGCAGGTTTCTGTCTCCCTGGCTCCACCAAATGGACCCCACCCAGTTTTCCTCTTAGCACCCTTTACCCACGTATGCCACCACTTCGTTCCTTCTGGACTCTCCTCCAGGGGCTTCCTTCTGGAATCTCCTCCAGGCCTCTCTTCTGCTTCGTCCCCTCTTCCTCTCCTCTTTCCCAGTCACCAAGGGCTCCTAAAATCCAATGTCTCAAAAACGGAAATCATTATCTGGCTCTTCAACCTGCTCTTTCTTCCATGAAAGGTACAACTTTGATGCCTGGTGCATCCATCTGCACCCATGGTCCCTGATCTGTCTTTCCTCCTCCACCCTCTGCATCCCGTCCAGGATCACATCTCCCTGCCCACAAGCCATCTGCTATATGAGGGCAGGGACTCCATCCTCCTGGCCCACTCCTGCCTCCAGCACTGGGAACAATGCCTGATGCTCTATGTCCACTGAGCCTGCCTTCATCATGTCACTCAAAGTTGTCTTGTGTCTTTCCTAGCCACTGTCTGGGTCAAACCCTGACTGCTTCTAGCTTATGTTGTGTAAGACTCTCCCAGCAGTTCTCTCCAGCTCCAGATCTGCCAACCCTTAGGCCCTTCTGCAGCCAGCATGGTCCTCAGCACAGTGTACCCTCCTCACGCCCTTTCACCTAGCCGCTTGTACCTCCCAGCCTTAGCTTTACCCCCAAGGCCCTCTCTTGCACCCTCTGACATTCTAGCAGTGCTTCCCACCAATGCATTTTGCTCTGTGGTCTCTAGACCTTTGCCTAGCATGCTCTCTCCCCCTGCAGCTTCTTTCTCTAAGTGTCCCTCCTTTCCTCTGGCTACTTCTTGGTCCTTCTCTAAGATGGGACTGTCAGCTCCTGCTTGTGATGCCTGCCCGTCCGGATGGCTGGCTCCTTTTCTGTGTTTCTGGGGCTCTGTATGCTCGCCTCCCTCTGTGCAGTCTTCCCCCACATCACAGTGCATTGGTCTGTCTGTCTGTCTGTCTGTGCCCCACTGGGTTCTGAGCTCCCTGGAGACCAGGAGAATGCCTTAATGTCTTGTTCACTTCAGAGTTCGTGGTGCCTGGCATCAGGTGCCTGCCCACATGTGGTTGGGCATCTCGATGGGTATATTACACCAGTCAAGAACTCTCTGTCCAGAAAGAAGGTCAAATTTAAAATACATAGAAGGTGGCATGTGAGTGAGGGGGAAAGGCCTGTACCAGGCAGGCCCTTAGTGGCTTGTGGATGAAGGAATAAGTGAATGGAATGTGTGGAGAGAGGCAGGGACAGTGGCGTTAATGGAGAGTTTGACTAACCAGGACAAATGCGCAGCACACAAATCCCCGGCCCTGAATCCTCCCTGCCTTCCCTCATCACAGGTGTCCGACAACAAAGCATCCCTGCCACCCAAGCCGGGGACCATGGCAGCAGGTGGTGGTGGGCCAGCCCCTTTGTCTTCGGCGGCACCCTCCCCCCTGTCATCCTCTTTGGGAACAGCTGGACACAGA